AAGGTCATTAGAGTGGCATCCTGTGTCATAAAATAATTGGTCACTGTAGTTCTCAGCATCTGAGCATCAGTTCCATCAAGGTTAGACTCTAGGGTTTAAGATTTTAGAAATATCAGGTATGGGTCCATAGAGCTGTGATTTAGTTGCATGTTAAACTTCAAGAAATGTTAAATATAGTTTTCAGAATCTGAAAATCAGTTCCATCAAGCTTAGAATCTAGGGTTTTAGCTAATGTCCAAACAGTGAAAGCATACATTAAAACAGCCTCTACAGTGGTGTGACAGAATCTCTGTTTGAAGTTGTTTGGTAGATCCGATTTCTAGATTACATACATTTTATTCAAGGCAGCCCAGGCTTTAGCTATGCGGATTTTCAAATCCTTTTCAGTAGAATTTATTTTGCTTCCTAGGTATGTAAAAGATTTGACAGATTTTTGCATTTTATATATTTAACTTACACAAATTTCAACCTGATTGGCATAAGATAGGAGTATAATAAAAAGTATTCATTATGGATTTACAGCCACTTTATAATTTAAACTTTGTATCATATTTTCAGTAATTTAATTCTATTTCCTAGTCAGTTCACATAATAATTGTAAATACAATTTCAGAAATTAGGTGGCCATTTAAGTTTATCACTGACAAAGATGTTTCTGCCAATCAAAATCTTTTTACCTGATGCTCTGTCTTTATTGCTGATTGCAATTAAAGGTGATCAGTGAAAAAAAAAACGAAAAACAAACTTCCCAATAATGGGTCACTTGCCTCCTGCTGTCAAAACCAAAATCTGCAGCTCAGTGTAAAATCAATAGATGCTGTTTGGAAGAAAAGATGAGAGATATTGTTTCATTGAGATGCACTTCTTTAGGAGATCATTTTAAAAAGTAGCTTCTTCATTTCATTCAAACAGTGTATGCTGCAGTTCATTTAAAAAATAGATTCTGCAGTTCACTTGAAAAGTAGATGTAGTTCATTTGAAAAGTAAATGAGGCAGTTCATTTGAAAAGTATATGTTGCAGGCAAAAAAAAAAAAAAAAGCTATGTAGCCACAAATTGTTTTTGAATGGCTTTGGGACAGTCACATCTCTTCTGCTGAAAGTTGAAATCAGTGGGTTTTTATCAGAAATTTTTTCTCAAAAGTAGGCTCAAGAAAAATAAGTTTTAAATTTTCTCTGATTGGTCAAATATTTCACATGGTGTTGTTAATTTCTAACCAATAGACACTTTGATTTAAATGGTGTGTCTTGTATTGTGGAATCTTTTTTGGCATGATTGTAAATATTGTCTGTTATTGTGTAGAAAATAAATCTGGAGCATGTTTTAATATGGTATGTATGTGGGCATGTAGGGTTTATTTCCTATACACCGGGCTGTAAATGGGTTAAAATGTTTGATCACTTTCTAAAAACAATTTCACGCTTATAAACCTTTGACACGTGCATGACATTCTTGCAATCTCTTTTCATTTTCTAAGAAATTTAGAAACAAAAGTGGGTTTGAATGTTGCAATTGTGATAACACCTTAGTAAATTTTTTTTATAATTTCAGTTGATAATATCAATATGAAACTGTTAATAAAATAGGATAACATCTCAATTTGACTGATGAAAGAAGAAAAATGTTCATTGTTGGACTTTCATTATTTACATTCAAACTAATATCCTCATCTTTGTTATTATAACAGACTCCCACATAAATGCTTTCCGGTAAGGTACAATCTTAACCTCTTCAAATCAGGAGTCATTCATTATCTATTCTCCTTATCCTCAGCATCTTCACTTTCTACTACCTTTTCCATTCATATCAAATACCTCATTACATACTAATAACCTCTACCTTAAGTGACTCTTGAGCTTTTAAATGGCTGAATGGGATTTAAAAAAAAAACTGTTGCTGGCCTTCATCAGGTGTCTGTTGATCTGGGTAAACATCATGGAATTTCAAAATACCCAGAGGGCACAATGGCTGAAACATTGTGATAAAAACAAGAAAGATAAGGATATTAGCCTGAATGTAAATAATATGAATAATGATAACTGCTTATCCCAGAAATTCAGACAGAAAATGAACTTTCATTGTTGTTGTATTTTATGACTTTGGCCAATTCATATTATTTCATTTAGAACAATAAGAATAGTCATATTTACATGTGAAATGAATTGATATTAAACTTGGCTTTTTTTCCCAAAATATCACAAATAAATAGTTATAAAGTTCTTTATCCCTAAACATTGCACACATAATTTTATAATAGTAAAATATCATTAGAAAAAAAAACACAAATATTTTTACTATGACTTCTTTCAAGGCCTGGTTTGCTTTGTTTTGTTTTAAGGCATATCAACCTCAATGGGTTATTTAATGCCGACAAGATTTTTATTGCTGGTTTGGTTTGGTTTGTTTTGTTTTACGGCATATAAACCTCAATGGGTTATTTAATGCTGACACGAGTTTTATTCCTGGTAATTTTTTTTTTCCAAAAATGTATTGCTGGTAATATTTTTCTTTTAAAATGTATTGATGGTAATATTTTTTTTCAAAAGTGTACTGCTGGTAATAATTTTTCTAAAAAAAAGTGTTGCTGGTATTAAACCAATTTTTATACTTTGACCCCCTTTTGGGGTGGGGGTTAACTTTTTGCCCATAGTTGGGACTCTGACAGGTGCTACCACCCTTGGGTCAAGGTGGACCAGGGAACACCAGCAATTAAGAGGTGGTTCTATGTTCCTCAAAACCACCTGATCAATGGCTTGCTGTTGGATGTAGTTTATTGTCTTGCCCAGGGTGCTCAAGGCCTGGTCTCTTGGTCTAAAAGCTATATATATATATATATATATATATATATATATATATACACACACACATAGAGAGAGACTTATCAGCTGTCAATAAACGCCTTTGAGTGCTTAACCTTGGAGCAGGTGAAGTGGAGATCAACATGTTTTAGTGGACTCATCAGTTTTCAATCTGCTAGTCTGAATCATCTTCAAGAAGCAAGACCAAGATCTAAAAGGTCAGCCAATCTAACAGTGACCTCATCCCACAGTCCTCCCTGTTGCTCCATATATGGCCTCCTTTGCAAATCACTAGTGGGTCTTAAGTGCCACTTAAGATTATTGCACAAAATTTATAACTGAATCAGTTGGTTAAGTTGTCAGATCCTCATACGTTGAAACCAACAAGAGAGTCCATTATTATATAAAGACAGAGAGAGAATTAAATTAATACAAGCAAAAAGTTTTTCACTTAGCTGATTGATATTACTTTTAGCATCCCGACTTCAGAGTTTTGTAGATTGAGCTTCCAGGAATCACTCTGTCCACTTGTCAAAGTGTATCAGAAACTGACTTCCTATACTTCTTGATTTTTATTTTTTATATGCACTTTTCATTGGTGCAAGTTTTTTCATAGTGTATGTGTGCATCTGCACCCTTGTGCTCGTTTGCACATATGTGCATACATAAAGAATGTTGTGATTATTTGTCTTTGACATCATTTTTTTTTTCACTTTACAGCCATTGCCTAACTTTTTCTACTAAATCTACTAAATCTACTAAATGAGCCATTTTTTACCATTTTTATTTTTTTCTAATGAAAAACTGCTTTAATAATTTATATTATTAATTTATAATTAATCTTATAATGTAATATTATAAGAATTATTTTTATTCAGTCGAATTAGCTTGGACATTCATGAGTTTATCACGCCAACCATAACAGTCTTGCATCAAAGTCAGAAGGCCATTAGGGAGATCATAACATAGCTTGTCAATGTAAGTGGTTGCTGGGCAACCAATTTGTCTTGCTCCAGAGCAGTAGATTACTCACAAGTTCTTGTTTTGCTCACCACCAGAGTCCTGCAAAGTGAATTCTCTATTTGCGCAAGATTGTAGAAATATCAAAGATTGGTCCATAGAGCTGTGATTTAGTTGGATGTTGTCGCCAAGAGATGTTAAATATAGCTACCCCCAGTGAGCAAAATAAAGGGTTCAGTTCGACATTCCAACCACCTGAAGAAGGCCGGAGCATACAATGGCTGAAACTTTGTAATAAATATGGCAACAAAGATGAGGACAATAGTCCGAATAATGTAAATAGTAAATTCAGAATTGTTATTCTTGACTAGTTGCCAACCAAGGCTAATGATTTCACTCAGTTATAAATGCAAAGTGAACACAAATAATATCAGCTGCGAAGTGCATGTGGCATGTTTATATGATAAAAGAAAAATGCCATGTCAAGAAACAAGAACACAAACACTATTTTTCGTATTATATGTCTTGTTCTATTCAGGGCTTTGCTCGCTTGTCCAGGTCGGTAGGTAGGTGATACTAGGGACAATGTTTGTTATATAAACTCTTCTTCCTACCAACCTCACCCATCTACTCATCCTAATATGGTGGATGGCACTACAAAATGAAGGCTTTGGGACCTCAACATGGACATGTCTGTCTCCCACAAAGGGTGGGCCTTCCCCAGATCCCAAGCATGACTGTTAATATAGACCAGCACCTGGATATATGCTATTTCTGGTTTTGTTGCCACTTGATCATCAAAACTCCCTTATCCTCAAAGTGGATGCTGCTTAGAAGACCAAACTACTGCTGGTTCATCAAGCAGAAACACTTAAGATCAAGATAAAACCACCTCTTCTCTTTTTATGTATGTGTCTATAGCATCACATTTTGTGATACTATAGACATCCACATGTGATCCACACTGCATTAGGTTGATTGACTGATTTGTTTTCTACAGCTTATCAACCTTTTGCAGGTTATTTAAAGCCAGCAAATATTTTTAGATTGAAAGAATTTTTTTTGTGATAATAATAGTTTAGTGATACAAGTCTTACTAATTAACCCGTAGCTGGGGGAGAAGTGGATTCATACATTTATGAAGGGTATTTGCACATAAGGGAATATAACAAACCAAACTGGAACTCAATTCTCTGATCAACAGTTACAAACTATTATCCATTACATCACCCACATACCTAAGCTTACAGCACCTGGTATTCCCAAGCGGTTACCCATCTAGGTACTGACTAAGCTCAATGTTGTTTAACTTTGGCGATTATATGCAAACTGATGTTTCAATGTGATATGGTCATAATCCACTGCCATAAGTATACATACCAAGATCTAAACCAAGTTGAATAATATTTCAGTAAATCAAATGTCTGTTCATCTCCCTCCAGAATCATCGCATGTTTTTCTCCCATTTATTTCATAGAGTATAACTGCATTAAACAATTACAGCTCCTTCCATTAATGAAACCCACAATTACCGGCAAATAAAGCTTAAGTTGTATTGGCCCTGCAGGATGTCCAACCTACAACAAATGATTTCCCTGTAGGGAAGCAAACTCTTCAATATTGGGTGTGGGTGAATTTTGACATTATCTTCATGCGACATTTACAAATCAATAAATCAATAAAGAACATTGCAGTCATCAGAATTTCTGGTCACTTGGCAGGGCATTTTCAAACATCTGCTCACATTGATTCATATTAGAGTTTGTTTTTTTTTTATATATAATTTGTTCATGGTACTTAAAACTTTATGTATCGGGCTCCTAAAAACTTTTTTTTTTTTTACCTCAAATAAAAATTGATAGCCATCGTAATATTAATTCTTAAATGCATCATTATTCCAAGCCAAACAAAAGGATTAATAGAACTTTTTTGTGCACTTCTTTTGGCTCAATGTATAGTATAGTGGTGGATTTTCAATATTAAAAAAATAAGTTTTCAATACATTTTTTGCTCTTATTGAATAATTGTAGAATAAAATCCAAGTGAGATAAACCAATAAAAATAATTAAGATCTAAGCTTACTCTTAGGTGCCTGGTAGAATGAAGGAGAATAGTTATTTTTTCTGAGGAAATTTTCTGACCTTGGCAAGCATATTAAGAACAACCTTTTTTATCAAATTTTCACTTTTATGCCAAAGCTCAAAAAGGAAACAGCAAATATTATACGTGTTACAGTATATGCTATGGGTTAAACAGTAGTGTAGCAAGAGAAAATATAAGCAGATAAAAAATAAAAATTATTGAAGTTAAATGGTTTTGCTCCCCTCTAAAAATAGTTTTGGGCTATATGGTCAGATATTGATTTATTATCTTCCTTCATTTCAAGGGCCAAGTCACCACTCTTGAAATGCTTAAACCAGTTTTAGACAGTATGGTCAGATATTATTTCATTTTCTTTTTTTTTTTTACTTCAAGGGCCAAGTCTTTTTTTTCTATGTGTCATGTCCTTTCAGGACTTAGACGATCATAGCTCTCTACCTCCCTCTATCCCTTGCCGCTCTCAACAAGTTCCCTCTCTCTGCCACCTCCACCAGACCACATTATGTCATTCACTTAATTAAGGCCACTAGTTGTGTCATGCATTGTTTACCCTTGTCTCTCTTTCCCTCTATTCAACTTGTGATTATCAGATTCTCCAGGCCCTCCTTCCTCATTATGTGTCACAGGAACTTCAGCTGCCTCTTCCTAATGTTAAGTATAAGCCTCCTCCTTGTTTGCATACTCTGTAAGACCTCATCATTGCTTGCCCACTCGGTCCATGTATCCATAGCATCCTTCAGTTTTGGGACAGTATGGTCAGATATTGTTTCATTGCCTTCCGCTTCATTTATTTCAAGGGACAAGTCACCATCCTTAAAATATTTAAACCATTTTTTGGCAGCATGGTCAGGTATTGTTTCAATTCCCTCCTTTATTTCAATAGTCAAGTAATCATCCTTAAAATGCTTGAACCCCTTTTTGGTCGTATGATATTTTTTCATTTACTTCCACTTCCTGTTTTTTCTTTGAGTTTCAGTTTAAATAAACCCACCAAACTGCCAGAATTTCAATACTTGAATCATCTTTGGAAGCAAAAGCTAAAACTGACAATTATAAGATTTGTATAAGTTTGACCAATGAAAATCATTTCTTAAACATTTTTTCATAAAATGAAAAATTACTGCCCAAATACATGCAATTTAAATGCTATGAGCAAGCAGCTGTGAAACCAGCACCATAAACTTCTGAAAAAACTCATAAGATATGAAACTGACGCGACACAGAAATAAAAATCTCTTTGATAATGGCTTATGAAATCTGAAAGTACTCAGACATTGTACAATTTATATTTAAACTTTCACTGAAAACCAGGTAAATGATTTGAAACATAGAAAGAAATAAACAAAAAATATCCTTGACAAAACAACTTTCATTAATCTTTAACCAAACTTGTACAAATAAAACATTGCCACCCAAATACAGCCAATAATGGCATATAGGATAATAATAATAATAATAATAATAATAATTTCACAGAATCACCAATAGTTTTGGTAGGCATCCATTTATCTAGTGAGATAAAGGTAGTGCCATGTTTGGTCAAAATTCAGTCCTTTGGAGGTGAGACTGGAGTTTTTAATGTCTATTTTAAATATACTCTGGAATACTGATCTATAAAAAGAGAAAATACTTTTGATATACCCAAATAATTCCTGTAAAGTCCTGTAAAAAACAAGAACAGTGATCTTTTTGGTTTGTTATATATATATATCAGAAGTACAATTTTGTGTGATATCAGAAGTACGATGTTATATGATATCAGAACTATTGGTGGCACCCGCTCCCATCTGTGCATCAGGATTGTCATCCTCTCTCCTTATTCTCTTTCTCCCCTCTGGCAGTGGTGACTCCTGGAGTGTCATAAGCAGGAGTCATAGAGAGGAGTGTGTGTGGTGGATGGTCCTATGCCAAGAAGACTGATTTGCAGCAATGGTTTCCCAGTTCTCAGGGTTGATGTTGGCTTGTGTCAGGGATGTCTTCAACTGTTCCTGGAAGCATTGTTTCGGGCCTCTCACATAACCTCTTGCCACTGGTGAGTTCTCCACACAAGATGATACATGGGAGTCTAGACATGTGATCTCTCCAGATGAGGTTATGTTGAAGGATGATAACCTCAATGCTGGGAAAGATGTCCAAGTGAGAACCTTGTTGTTGGTAATTCTGTGTTCCCAAATGGTGCAAAGGATTCTTCGAAGCTTGGTTTGCTGGAACCACTCCACACATTTGATGTCCTGATGATACATAGTCCATGTCTCTGAAACATACAGACGGGTGGAGAGGACCATGCCACGGAAAAACATAATTATGGGTCTAATGGTGAGGCCATGATTGCTGAAAACCTGATATGAAAGCATTCTGTATGTATCAGAACTATAATGTTATGTGATATTGGTAGTACACTATATGTTATCAGAAGTACAATGTAATGTGACATCAGCAATACAATGTTGTGTGTTATCAGGCATACAAGGCTTTATACATATAAGTACAAACATAACTACTCACCTTAAATTTTGGCTTATTGTTAAAAATATGTCAATTATATTTCTTACGCAAGTCACTATTTTCAAAATAGATATTAACCAAAAAATGTTAGTCAAATTTTCAAGATATATTTATATGATCATATGAACAATAGGAGTTTCAGCCTATGATATCTATTGTGTCCTGGGTAAGACGATAAACTATGTCCAGCAGCAAGGCCTCTGATCAGGAGGTTTTGAGGAGCATGGAACCACCTCTTAATTGCTGGTGTTCCCAGGTCCACCCTGACCTGGGGTGGTAGCACCTGTTAGGGTCCCAGCTATAGGCAAATAGTTAACTATTACCAGCAATAGTTTAATAGTTTTTTGAAAAAAATTATTACCAGCAATACAATTTTGAAGGAAAAATATTACCAGAAACAGATTTTTGACAAAACAAAATATTACCAGCAATAAAAAATTTTGTCAGCATTAAATAAACCATTGAGGTTGATATGTCGTAAAACAAAATAAACCAATGTAAACCAAAGAATACATATTCTATTGATATGAATCTATCCTAAAAATCTTGTCGGCATTAAATAACCCATTGAGGTTGATATGCCGTAAAACAAAATAAACCAAACCAAACCTATGATATCTATTATCCATATTTAAAAATATTGATAATAAATGCAACATAAATTGTTATTGATAAACAATTTCAAGAAATATAAGTCAGAAAAATTTATTTGATTGATATAATATCCTGTACACTAGATTAAATTACTATTTAACATATTAGTATAAACTTCTTGACATTCTATTGCCTTCATCTATCTTTTATTCATTGATATTGTTAACTTACCCACTGTTTTAACTTTAACTTTTTAACCTGCAACAATTTTTATTGCTTCTCAATGATCTCTGCTTGAATATTGTTTTCCATTCTCATAAAAATCTAATTTAATAATGAACCACAACTTTTTTATTTGTTCAATATCTGGATAGGTTGGGTGACATTCCATTAATTTTTTTTTTTTAAACCATTTTTGGCAAGGTGGGCAATAATCAATTTTGTTGTTACCTGAACCACTTAAAAATGTCTTATCCAAGCTCTTACAATAATTCTCTGCATTTACCTAGATACTATCATCAACGTTAAAGAGATCTATAATTTTACTGTCAACATTACAAGCCCAAAACATTCTTCACTTTACTTCTCATTGTCTGCTTTGTGATATTCATTTAAATTGATAGTTTCGTTGCATTCATCTCTTTAGCCAATATAATTAATATTCTGCATCTTTTTCTCTGTGTTTACATTTTCAACATACACTTTAAATATTTTCTTTTTTTGGTCCATCCAGTTTTCTTGCTTATTAGCTTTTTCATTTTTCTCAAATGAATTGTGATTTTTTTAAAGCCAGTTTTTTTCTTGTTCTAGCCAATGTTTATTGTTCTACAATCCTTGTTCAACCATTTTGTAGTTTCCAATGTTGTGTGCCAATCACTCAATAACTTTACAATATCATATTTATCTTATGAGGTTATATCTTTCCTACAATTTATGGCAATCTCTATATATCTGAAATAGAACCGGATTCAGAGCCATAGGTGCCCTAAGCACTTAAAAGATTTTTGAGCCCCCATACATTTGCAAGTATACTCAGTGAGTAGTGTAAATAAAGGATATCAACTGAGAAAGGGCATCATAGAAATGCTGTTGGAAATAAATACAGAATTAACCAAAGGCACATATAACCATCAAGAGAGGCTGAACATCAATTCCA